ATCACCTCCCACCTTGAAACATCCTCCTCTGCTCAGCAGGCACTAACTGCCCTACTCATTCAATTTCACTATCCAGATAATGTAATAAATGAAACCCTGAACAATTGCTTCTAACCTCTAATTTTCTGAAGTCTGATGACTCTCAAAAAAGCCTTGTTTGCTCAGAAACACACTATTTTTTTCTGCATGTCATCCAGTCTTATTAAAAAATTATGGTCTGCCTTTCCAAAAGACTTGATTCATTTGTTGTCATCACAACTATCAAAATCGTAACACAAAGAAAATTTTTATCAAGGAGGGTTTATTAATGCAGCTGTATGCTGGATTATACATTTGCACACTGAAACTCTTTAGAATTGTGGACAAAGCCAGCTGAAATCAATGGGAAAGATGTCATTTAAATAGACTTTATTTCAAGACCTCAGCTGAGGTGACACACTTAATTTCTTTCAAAATAATCCTGTTATACCCTTCAGCAACAATAAAATAGAACTTTAGAATGAATGTTATTTATATAGACTTCCTTGCAATTCCACGCTGCAGGTAGAATGCAAAGGAGACTCCTCTGAAGACCCAGAGAGCACACAGAAAGACAGAAGAAAATAAAAATCCTGTTTTTAAAAGAACAAATTATTTATGGAATCTGAGTTCAGCTGCCTTATCTAAAATATAGCAAATTCAGTTCTCTTTAGTCATGTGACCCAACACTTCCATTAAATAACTGAAATTTACTTTTAATAAAATAAAACTTTTTTGTTTTTAAGACATTCAACTTGGTCCACAGGAAGGTGTGACAAATGTCACTAAAAACTTCCAACATCTTTTATACATTATTCCTATAATCTTACTGGACCACAAAAAATAAGAAAAAGAATCTGACTTGTGATTATCCAAATCCTAGGAGGGGCCTTCACAAATCACCAGCCTGATGTTCACAGATAGATCAACACTTGCCAGAGCACTTTGGTAGAACGAGACATTCACAGACAAGAAAACTCTTCTCAAGATGAAGGTATCTCAAATCAGCTTAATAAAATAGCATGTTTGGATTCTCTATAAAGAGAATGAATTATTAGTTTACATTCTCCTGTCACTAGGTATCTTTCCTTGCTCTTTGATGCTGGCAATTGGTTATTTCCCCAAGGCACTGCAGTGATACATTTACATGTCACCACATCCCTCGCTGTGCTGAGCTGTCACTCTCACATTCAACATGGCAGGCCAGCCTAGAAATTCAGGCGTATCTGAGAGCTGACAACTTCTGCCTTGCAGTACCCTGCACTCCTCTCAAGCCAGCACACGGTTTGCTCTGCTAAATAAAAATCCAACTCCAATTTCTATTAGCCAGAGGTAATGGAAGAGAAAGGGAGATCGTGTTTTTCTCAATTTCAGTGAGTAAGTAGGGTGGAACATTGAGAAGACCAAGCACAGCATCTTTTCATGACCTCCTAATTTCTTTTCATCAGCTAGACAACTTCCTATTTTCGCATCACAAATCAGTGAAGCACAAAAACAACTTAAGACCTCGCCACAGGTCATATTTGAGCAGTTTCTAAAGGTGCAACCAGAATCCAGCATTAAGTAACCACTGGTGGAATGGATCCTATATTTTCAGGATGCTATAACTATTTTTTCTCTTATCTACTCCCTCGACCAGATGCATTTAGCAATTCTCAATGGATTTATCTTCCTAAAACTTGCCCCATCTCTTCCTGCATCTACATACACTCTTAATGAGCACAAAATCCCTCTCTTCTACATCCCACATATCAACAGGTCAAATTTCCTTCTGTGAAGAACAATTCCCTTCTACTTCTTGTAAATGTGGCCCTTACTTGAATATTTTCTTGCCCCTACTTAACTGGCGAAGGAGCGTAACTGCTGTGAGATTTCTCATGAGCAGTCTGCACTTCTCTTGTACTGAGAAGACATTCAGTCAATAGAGCAAACCCCTAGATTACTATTTTAAAGCATTTTATGAGGTCTTCCAAAGGTCCACCCTATGACCATGACAGTGGTTAATTACAGAAATTTGACTTCTCATAACCTTTTGCAGTAATTGCTTGGAAAGCACATAAAAGATTCCCTATCATTGCCCCACATTCAATGATCAAGGGAAGGGAAAACAAAATGAACAAAAAACCCCAAACAAACAAACAAAAAATACAAAACCAAACTGCCAATCAAACAAAAATACCACACACAAACAAACGAACAAAAATCCAGAAAAAACACCCCCCAAACCAACAAAAAAAAAAAACCAAACCAAAAAACCCAAAGAAACAAAACCCAAAAACCCACAAAGCCTACAACATGCCATGAGGGACAGAAGAAACCCCAGAGAGAAGAAAGATAACCTGTCCAAACAGGCAGTGCTATGTAGGGAGGTTAAGTATCAGGCAATACAAAAATGGAATTCTGAAGGCAAGTTCCAGTTCAAAGAGACAGGCAGCCTCGTTATCTTGAGATGCCTTCTCAAGGGCATTTATTGCAAGTCTGAAAACTGCAAATGAGTTACAGAAAAGAACAGGCAGAATGATAATCACAGCCACCACCCAAGAGTACAATACACACTCCAACACTCTGTTATTGACAACCTGTAGTTTCTTCCTCTGACTTTAAATGCAGCTGGTTTGGGACCATTATTTATACGGGTGAGGAACTACATCATAAGAGGAAATCTATACTTCCGAAGCTGGTGTATCATTCTCCTGCTTGTGTGAAAGATGCCCAAAGTAAAAAAAAAAAAAAAAAAAAAAAAAAAAAAAAACCCAAAGCTGATGGGTATGAAAACCTCCAGGTTTGGCTCACTGACTCTGGCAACATTCACAAAGGCACAGAGTGAAGCAGAGAGTGAGTGCTGAAGTCTGTCTGCCTTTGGAGGTGAAACTGATGTCTCTAAGCATTAATGGCTTCCTAATCCCAAACCAACCAGTTTGTCATCAATTATCTTTTGCTAGGAGACAAAGGCACTAACAATGCAGAACCATCTCAGATGACCTACAACTTGTGGGGAGAGAACGTAAATATTCAACCCATTTTTGGAAGGAATAGTTCCAAGTCCCTGCTATATTTAATTGTTCTTCTGTGCTAATCCTTTCATTGCATTTCCATTTCAGACTACAAAGCCATGAAGCTTGCAGCTCCCTGTGGAAAGAGCTTCTTGCTTGAAAACCTCAACGCACTTTGAGTAAAAGCATTTAGTGCAGAATAACTCTGGCAGGCAAAAGACTACATTTAACAAGAACAAGTTATTTTAATTTGAGGAAGTTAACTGCTAATGAGTGGGGAAGAGCAGAAAAGGGAAAGGGGATCAGCCTGAATAACCAACAAGTACCTGAGAGTTGCTAGAAATTGCTGGGATACTAAGAATGTTGGAAAACAGATTTACAGGGTCCATTTCCTATAGAAGGGTGTTCATCTAAGATTATGAGGCACTCTGAGTGTGGCAACCTTTCCATGCACTTTGCATATCCAAGTGTCACAGACACAGCACAGAGCAGCTCATAAAGCTTGAAAAATGCAGTACAGGAGCTCGCCTCTGGAAACCATGGCATTTAAATCATCACTTATGTGAAAGAGATTGAAGGATGGAGGCACATCTCCACTACCTTAAATTGAGAGAAGGAGCTGGATTCCTGGCCTTTCATCAAGCATTGTCTGAACCCAAGTGTAGTGATAACAGAGTTTCATTGCTTGGGGCCACTTATACCCAATGCCCTTCTGAGAAAAAGTGCACTGCAAAACTGCTGTTCCCCTTTAGAAAGGCCTTCCCATTATTCAGCCAGCAAAACAACCAGCTGTTTAATGACCTAAGAAGCAGACAAGGGCTCTTTGCTCCCCTCTTTACAAAGTAAGCTGAGGGGAAGAGCAATTTAACATAGTTCATAAGATTTGTGCCTTTGAGTCCTCAGTCAGAACAATCAAACTCAAGATATTAAAGCAAAGTCTCTTGGTCCCAGGGGAGTATCCTGGAGGCATTCTTGACTGCCAACACCACAGTGAGGAACTTCTCACCATCACCTTTCCATTTTCCAGCTCCCTGTGTGTTCAGCCTTGCCCTAGGCAGGGAAAGCACAGAATGAACTTCCTTGGTCTTCTGGCTTGCTTTGTTTTAGGTTCAGTGTATTCATACACATTACTAGAAACTAGAAGATTCCATGGGAGCCAGAAGCAGTTTCATCTCCATGTTCTCCAAAGACACAGTGATAGCCAAAAGGCATTTATCAAATGTAGGATTGAGGCAAAAGCTGAACAGAGTTGAATTATATACAGTTTGTCAAGGCTTCATGGGAGTGTAGCTCACTCTTCTTGCAAAATGGAATGTTTGTTATTTTTGTGATATATTTAAATATATCTGTAATTTTGGACATTATTATGTGTTAAGTTACATTTGTGGTTTATGTTATCAAGCTGATTAAGACTGTAGTTCCTCTTGCTTTGTCTCTACCATTCCACATTTAGAGACACTAGTACAAAGTCAATGGTTCTCAGAACTGCCAGTACACTGAATATAAGGAGCAACACAAAGGAGACTATTTCCAGTGATAACAGGAATATTTTTTCTCCTCTGTAATATGAACTGAAGTATCAAAGTAGAATTCTGCTAGTGCTGTACTTCCCAACAGTGACAGAGAATGGTTCAGAAAATATGATTTTATCTGAGTTAGCCAGGAAAAAAAATCACTATGACTTCTACCATGTCATTAAATATACACATTTTTATCTTGAAAAAAAAATAATTAAAATGTTTCCCCAAGCAAATTACAATACACCAGGAAAATCAGAGAAATGCATTGGTTTCCACATGTGTCTCTCAATAACTCTCAGCACGGGAGCCAGTGCTGGCTGGTGTTAACCTCAGCAATATCATTTTAACAAGCTAATTATCCCCACAGCTATCCAAATCTGAACTCTGCTCATTCAATGCAGCCAGCAGCACCAAGAGAGCACAAAAAGCATGGAAGCAAAGTGGGAAAGCACATGGTACTGCCTCTTACCACAGTATAGATCTGAGGTTTCCGTCTCTTGGCCAGGTCAATTATATTGACTCCGTTGTAATAAAGGTTCTCAATGCACCCATGGAAATTTTTCCTCTGAAAGGTTCCTGGCTTGCCTGGGACAGGAATCCCTCCGAAACTGAGCTTTTGGAAAGAATAACAGCATTGTTAATAATATTATCTATATATATATATATATATCTATATCTATATATATGTATATATTATATTACATTGTATTATCATCCCAAAAGCAAGAGAGCAGAGCCCCACTCCATACATCCACTTGGGGTATTATTTAAGGACCAATTCCCACCAACATCATCACTGGAAGCATGAGGGAGGGCCTGGCCACCTCTCAGGAGAAATTATAGTCTCTATTGCATTCCTGCTGTTGGAGAAACACTGGCACAGAGAGCTCACTGCTTTGGGAGCAGCTCTGAAGTGCCTTGGCACACCAACCTAATGCCACCAGCTCCCCTCCCAGGAACATTCCCAAGCAAGGAAACCTTCCCAGGGTGTGCAATCCACAGCCCCACTGCCCCAGCCCTCAGTGCTGGGAGTGATGGGGGAATAAACTCTGCCTGCCCTCAGAGCTCTGGGGTTTCCCTGGGAGCTGCAGTCACTCCTTTCCACCAGACACATTCCGAGCAGTTCTGGTTTCAGCCAGAGGAAGGTAGTATCACACACACAAATACCCCATTTGCACCTTGCAATTTCACTGTGCTTTGGTCTTTAAAACAGTCACACGTGGCATTTGGGAGTGAGCTTTGTAATGGAGAAGTTCTGCAGGCTACACATTTGCACAGAGTTTCTGCTGTGGTTGTCTAAGTATTGGCAGATGTTAACACTGTGCAGGTTACAGCTCCTCGCTCAACTGGAGGGCTGAAAGCCCCGGGAGAACGAAGAGGCTAAGAAAATAAAGCTGCCCAAATACAGCATAACTGTTTAGATTCTGAAGAAAAGAAAGAGAGAGAGTAAAACGAAAGAAAAACAAACCCCACAACCCCAAAAAATTCTGTTAATCCTATCTTCATTTTCCAAATGTCACAGCTCATTTCTAATTAACTTTACTGACCTTTATGGCAAAGCATTACTGGTGGTACCACTGAAGTTTTACTCCTTTTTCCCATCATAGCCAGCAGCACTGTGAGTGATATAATGCAGGTGGGCATCCTGCAGCCACTACACTTGATCCTGTGCTGCAATCCTGCTGCATCCACTGCAGCAAGAGCATGCACTGCTGTGTGACACTGTTTACATGCTGACAGCTTCTGGAACCTGGTCAGCCCTATTCCCCGCCACAATTCCCAAAGCCTTACTCAGTTCATTATTACAAAAATAAAGGGCAATTTGGGGGTTATTTTTCCTCCTACTCCGCCTTACAAGCTGGGATACACAAGCAAATGAAACCTCCCTGGGTAACCTTGAAAACACTTACTTGAAAACAAGTTCTTAATGAACTTGTACCTCAGTTGTTTTAATTGATCACTTCAGAGAAATAAAGAGTGAACAGACTGCTACTTTACGTCACTTGCAGGTTTGTTATTGGCATGAGGGCTTATCTGGTAGCAATGTTGTTTTTTTCCCCAATGAGAATCATTAGTTCTTTCTAAAACACCAGACTTTCCTACTTTCATGTTCTATTCTTCAAGTCTCCTGCTTTGGAACTCTGTACTGGGGTTTCAAAATCAGAAGAAAAATCAATATCAATTACACCAATGTATTATTAAGAAAACTGTTTCCTTTGTGATCGGTAATAATTTTAATTACGAAAGTAATGATTTTATTACCCTCAGTAAGGCCTTTAATCTCTAAAGTGTGCTGAGATAAACTTTCAGTAGACTGCATTGCTGCAATGTTTGACTGAAAGACTGTCTCAGTGCAAATGGAGAAAAAACACACTGTGAAAAACTAAGCTCAGGGGACAAGGTCTGAGTGCCACAGTGGTTGGTGGTGATGATGATTTACAACACCTGAAGATCTTTTCTACTATGTTCCCTATTTTGGAACATCTGGAAAAATGTTCTGCAAATTAGATTGGAGCCTGAATTTCCCCTAACTGGCACCAAGCACGAGGTAAGTAATTTTATTATTTTGAAATTAGAAAAACTGATGACTAAATTATTTCTCAACTCCATCTTAAAAGCAGTTACAGTTTTGGCCCCTAATAGTTCAATCTAAAGCTGTTGCAGAATCCCACTGCTCCAAGTGCTGTCCGTACTAAATGTGCTCATGATTTGGTAGAGCAGTGCCAGGGGACAGGTACCACTCTCTCCACCCTGCTTTGTGAAATGCAAAGAAACTCATTTCATCTGGAAGATGGGAGGAGGAGAGAGCAGGCACCTGCCACTGCTGAGCCGTCTGCTTTTTTCCCCTTGGGTGTGTTGGAAAGTGATCCTTTCCGGATAAATGAATTCAAAGTGCAAAGGGGAAACCTGTGGTCTCTGAAGCAGTGAACCGTGCCAGCTCAACACATCCACACAGGGTGATGGCTCTGTGCAAGCACGACCCTGAGCCTTGTGGGCAAGCGAGACTTGGCAGACAAGCACCAGGGGATAAAAATGAACGTGGGTAATTTGCACGCAGGTGTGCGTTGATAGCAAGATGAAGAACTGCCCTGCATGCAGATATGATGATTTTTTTAAGGTTTTTTAAGGGTTTTAAAGTGCTTTTTAAACAACTAGCATCCATAAGCACTGCTGGGGTGATATAAACAGTGCTCTGCCACACCTTGGTCTCATCACAGGGCAGGACACCAGGCTCGGGTTTATGGGCAGGCTGGATGATTCCTCTGCTCAGTTCTTTGCTGAGCTGCTCTGGCTCCCTAGATCAGCATGCTCTGCAACATGCTCAGATGTGAAGGGAGCTGGATCAGAGCTGGTGGTTGTGAGAAGCATAGAATCACAGAATTGCTAAGATTGAAAAAACCTCTAAGATCGAGCTCAGCCCAGCACCATCATGTTCATGACTAGACCATATCCCCAAATGCCACTTCCACCACTTCCCTGGGCAGCCTATTTCAATGTGTGACCACCCTTTCAGTAAGGAAGATTTTCCTGCTCTCCCATCTAAACTACCTCTGCCACAACTTGAGGCCACTTCCTCTCATCCTGTCATTTGCTATCTGGGAGAAGAGACAGCCACCCACCTCACTAAAACTTCCTTGCATTCTGGAGGACTTCCATTCCTAGTGGGAATACAATAATTTCCACCTGTTCATCTCTGTCTGGAGAGCTGTAACTCAATAAGTGGTGCCTGAATAGAGGGACAACTCAGGGGTGAAATATCCCCACAGTCATGCTCAATTCAATGCAGGGATGGTGCACAGGGATGGTCCATAGTGATGCCATTAAAATCATATTGGCAATGATAACACAGCTGCTCCCTGAACATTTGACTAGAAACCAGACTATGACTTCTCATTTATTCAAAGTCTGGCATACTTTGAATTGGAAACATAATGCAATGTATATTTGCACAGACATTGGCCACTTTCTGATGCTGGCATATTTGGAGTTTACCAGCATAAACTATGTCAGTGTAAGTATACAAGGAGCTCTCTAGGAAGGAAATTTTAAATAATGGAATAAATTTAAATAATGGAAAGAAACAGCTCATAGGATAGTTGCTTTCCATCAGATTCATTTTATAGCAATTCATACCTCAACTCACAGGTTATAACCTAAAGGGCTTCACACACCTCATAATCAATGTCCAAGTGATCTGAATCCCCCTTGGTTCGGAAGTGCTGGGTGTGCTTGTCCACTGTGAAGTTCACTTGCTTGTTGAAGCGTTCTATGAGAACCGAGTGCCAGTGCTGGTCATCCAGGAGGCTTCCCAGGGTGACAGACGTGTGGCTGTTACTGAAGTGCAGGTTGGAGTCCCCTGGAGTGGCACAGAGAGGTAGAAGACATCAGAGTTACCTCCAGACTCTTCACTGGAGCATGGAGACTCAAGGGAAGCACAGGAAAGAGCTCCAGGATGCAAGGCAGAGCTCTTGGAAACAGATCCTTTTCAGAGACTGCCTTAGATTCCTTGGGTCTCTTATTCACATGTATGTGTGTATACCTCCCCCAACACACATTTTTCCCAGTGAAATCCTTATGATGAACCAGGAGGAATTTCTGATACCACACCCACACACTGCAGCAGACAGGACATTATTACTTTGTCTGTACCCTTGGATCTGCCAGGCCTTTTTGGTCTGGTGGCTTAAGAACTTCCTTTGGGTAGCACCAAAATCTTCTGTCTAATCCCATTAACAGACTACTCCTGACACTTCTCTGTCAACTCTGTGCTTTCTGCATTTTAACAAGAAAATTGTACCTGTCCATTTTCACAGGGTAAAAAGAAAAAAAAAAAAAAAGCACAAATCAGTGAAGCAATAAGAGTGTTTTGTTCAGCTCATAAAATTTTTTAAACCTGGTTTAGCTCTCCAAAAGTATAGATCACATATCATAAAAATATTTAGGCTCTAGCCCGTTAATTTCCAGAACTCTTCTGTTTTCCAGCTGGCTACATGTCTGAACACTTCAGAGCCTCTCCCTGGAAGGGACTGTGTATCCTGTTTTACATTCCCACAGAACGCAGAGAACACATACTCCAAAACTGATGCAAGAAAGATATACAAGCAGATTCGAGAGAAATCATTAAAACCCTTGTCCATGGCATATGAATGCAAAAACAGGACCTGAAATGGCTAAAATTTTGTACACTTGTGGCTAGAGCTGAAGAAAAAACCCCAGCTCATCTCAGAATACACATTCACAACAGTATCTCCTCTGAAAGAAGTTACATAATATAATTAATTGTACTATATCCTAATCCTAGCATGAAATATTTCTAACAGGACAATTCAGTGGGGTAGATTCCCTCATTGAGAGCTTTGTGATGTAGTTTTTTGGTCCTAGTAACATTTAAATCCCAAATCAGAAAATGATGCATTACCTTTTCCAATCTTTGTGGAGAAAGAAGGAAAGAAGGAAGGAAAGAAGGAAAGAGAAAGAAAGAACAACTTGGGGACTCAACAATTAATGAGCTTATGTAAAAAATTAAGTCCAACAGCTGTGGAAATTAGTTACTGACTTGTAAAACAAACATAATTAAGCACAAGGGGAAAAATGCCCAACTCAAACCCCTCAGTATGAGAAACATGAGTCAGCAGAGACTGCTGAGGCCATACCATGGGACACCCACAGATGAAGCCAGTGAAGATTTTGCAGTAGGGCTGGGACAGGGGGTATGATCATTCCTACTGCAGTAGTCCCTACCATTATCAAAGTGCTTCAGTGTATTCATCAGGAAAAAAAAAAAAACAAAAAAAAATCCTTCTAGAGGAAGAAATTAAGCCAGCCTTTCCTCTTTTGCTCTGATCCAACATGATCGTACCGTGATAGCCTTACAGATATTGAAGGACTATTCACAGTTTTCAAGAAGGAAACATACAGCAATGTGCACAACGTTTTGACCAGAATGTTATCATTGAAATTCTGTATTCTCAGCTCAGCTCTGAATCACTGTGTGAATGGAAAAAAATTAGACACAAACCAAAAATAAAACTTTTCTGCAGTCCAAAGACCACTTCCTGAAAATGCTGTTCTTAAAAATAATACAAAAAACCCACACACACATGAAAAAAAAAGAAAAAAAAGGAGGTATGTGAAGAATCAGAACTAGCCATTGAGCAGTTCTGCCTTGCTCAGTTAGAGAAACCAAGGTCTCTTCTTGGCTCATCTACCATGTCCTGCATGACATCAGAACACAGAATGTTCTGTTGAAGAGTTTGCAGATACCTTCTAATATAAATAATAGATTTATAAGCAAATCAGTAATCCTAATTACCCTTACCCAGGTTGAGGTGCAAGGAGAGCTTCCCCTTCTGCAGTTCCAAGGTTATGTAGTCTCCACGCTGTCCTTCTCCATGGAATAAGACTCCATCCCCCTGCATGCTCTTGAACTTCAAGGAAACTACATCTTTGAACGTGCTCATAAGCTTCTGATTGAACCTGTAGAGAAGTGAACTTCTGCCATCAAAGTCTGCAATATCTGACTCTGGAAGAAAGAAAATGGCAAAATGGCAAGGAGTGGCCGCATCAGAAGAGGGACTGTGTTTTTTTCAGAATCTTTTCATATACAATTTGGAGTCAGGTATTGTCCTGAGTGTACAGATCATTTGGGCAACCACATTTCATCCATTTCCAATCCTCTCCCTCTGCTGGAGAAAGGGAACACGAGGATAAAACCAGAACTCCTCTGCACTAGCCTTTCTCATGCAACACTTCTCTCTCATTTAATTTTTGAGAACAGAACAGGTGCTTCCATCATATTCAGATCTCCAGAACATCCCTTGCCACATTTGCTGTTCATCTCAAATGCAGTCAGGATGTTATTCATTACTTTGAACACTTCAGTACTCACTCCACTTTTGTAGCTTCACAAGTGCCTGTTGAGCTGTTCCTGCATGTCAGCCATGCCTGCATCCAGCCCTGCATTCAAATAAGGATCCCCTCAGCCTCCGAGGGCTGGCTGCTTGCTTGTGATGGGCATTTATCAGCCATGTTTCTGCATGCAAATTGACTAGGCTGGCAGGAATAGCCAAATATCAATTCAAAAAGCTTTTGAGGAGATTTCATGGGAGCTGGGCATCTAAACTGATTTTACACCTTTGAAAATCCTATTAGAAACATATTTTCCCCTTCAGCCAGCCTCTAAAATCCCAATCATTCTGGTAGGAAACAAGCTTTCTGTTACTCAATTGAAATTAATATTTTTCTTTGGCAGCAGCAGCCTGCAGTACTCTCTTTGCTTTATAAAGTGGTCTTTTAAGCAAAACATATTTTTAAACAAAATTTTAAATGCATCTATAACCAGAATATTTCAGGTATCTTTAAATACTTTTAACTAATATGTTGTACACAAACATCTGACTGACATACATTATTTCAATTCCAATTTCTATCCAACCGCAATTTGACACAATTTATGTATAAAATATCAATTTTGTCAACTAGTATTCCCTGTTAAGAAAAAAAAAAAAAAGAATATCAGATTTAACAAAGTAGTTACTAAACTATATAACTACTGAGGCACATGCACAGACAAGTAACACCTTCCTAGTGCCCAAGAAGAAAGAACATAGACTAACTTTGCTTGCAAACTGTATATTTCAGTGATAAACCAAAGCTATCAGTTTTCTGTTTTCTTCTGAAAAATAACTGAGAGGTTCATATGATCAAGACTTCCAGTCAGCAACTGTATTGTGATTCAAGTCAGTAATTTAAGTCCTTAGTCACCTAAACTCCATTGAGAGTTCTTTTCTTCTTTTAAGCATTAACATTAGTCTCATCTGCTCCTTTTTAAAAAACCAAAAATAATAAGAGCTGGGGGAAGGGTATTAACTTTTTTTAAGTGAAAAAATTTAAAGAGGTTTGCAATTAAAAACTATTAAAAGCTCAGAAAATAAAACAGCTGTTAACAATTTGTTACCATGGAAACTACCATGAAAATTTCTGCCTGTCAGTATGACAGTTTGTACAGAAGTTTGATGGCACAATTACAAACTTGGAGGGAGCACAACATTTAAATTTGATGCAAAATTCTGCAACTCCATAGCCAACTTCATTCCAAATCAGAAGGCATCTGATTTTTTTTTTTTTTTTAATGAGAATAAAACTACAAAGAAAGTCAGTCCTGGGGAAAATTTACTCCTGAATAAACTAAGATCAACTTCTTATCTGTGATGTCAGAATTTTAACATCCTGTTTCCCATAATTTGTGGAACAGTTGCTAGTTCAGGAATTATCACAAATACGAAAGTATTCCTGCCATCTGTTTTTAACTTCTGAATTAGGTGTTATTAGAATAGGTGAATTAGAAACAGTTCCTTCAGAATTGCTGACTTCTCTCTATTGACACCTTGACTGCCAGTTTCTATAATGGGAATTAAATTGGTAGTTTAGTTCTTGTGAATTTCCCCTAACTACATTAAATACTACAATTGGTTTAAAGTAAATCACAAGTGTCTTATAAAAATAGTTTCATTTCAGGCAGGGATTAGGAAATAGCTTATGAAGTATTTACAGTATTTGATTTCCAGAAGTTGATTTTCCTCCTAGCCCTTAAAACCAAACATACTGCAAGAGCAAGGGTGCACTGATTCAATGTTGCTGCAAAAGCTATGCTTTTAAAATCTTTTTCCTAAGATCCAAGGTTCCAGCCAGTCTAAATTCACACTTCAGTTCTTGTTCTCAACTCTCCACTAAGACACAGCATAACATGATTTCTTGAAGAGCTCTCCTACTGACATTTACAGAGTATATCACAAAGGAAAACCTGTTTCTGAAAAGCTCTGCTCCACTAATTATCAGCTGTGAGCGCATTGGCCAATAAATAGCCCTGAATGAAATGGGAATATGTCGAATAAATGCTAACACTGGCAGCCAAAAGTCATTAGTGGCAGTTTGCATGACAACAAATCGTTGCTTCCTGTTAAAAACAGCCACTCCAGAAAACCTGCTTAGTGTTTGCTTAGTGTTTATTCAGTCCATGTATGTCCATAACCCTCCTGCAGCAAGAGAATGAGGATCCAAAATGTTTCAAGTCTCAGACAATCTGTAGTAATAACAGACTAAAACACAACATGTGATTTCATCCTGCCCTGCCTGCTGGTGTTCCTACGCTCCCTGAAGACAGACTTTACTCATTCTGGGCTCTTTTTTACATTGTCCTCATCAACAAGGCTGTTGACAGGCTGGCAGCAGTATGAGAGCAGAGTTTACCCGTGCAGCAATCTGCTCCCAGCAGCAGAGAGGATATACAGCCATACTTAAGAAGACACTCCTTCCTCCTAGAGACTTTGGGAAGAGTGAATATTTACTTAGCAAAGATATTCCAAAACAGGAATAAGTCTAGGAACAGTTGCAAAGACAGGAACTTTCATTCTTGCACTTGCACCAATGAACAGAATCTTTAACTCCTGGCAGAAAGGAAAAAGACAACTCCTGCTCTGAACAAATGTGTCCCCTGGCCAGTCACAGCTTGAACGACCCTAAAGCCATGCCCACTTCCCTCTCAGACACACAGCCCGAGGGATGAATGTGGATGGCTACTTCAGAGGTGACTGTTCTGCCATGCAGATTTATCCCTATCACAAATCTCTGCTTCAATTGGGTAAGCAATCATTTGGGTATTTACCTTGTGCATTTGATTACAAACACTACTGGTCAATGACCATCAGACATTAAGCAGTTCTCTGCAATGAGTTCTTTTCTATTGCACAGGAAGACAAAGGAGAGGATGAAGGAAGGTGAGGGAAAAGAAGGAAAAAAAAAAGGAGAGAAAAAGAGATAGAAAAAGAATCCAGTAAAAATATCACTTAATAGAAAAGCACAATATCAGATCATATTCCCTGAAGCAATGGCAGCAAAATATGAGAAAACAGAGTCCAGAACTGCAAATGAAGAATTCTGCTCTCAGAAGACACCCTGTCTCACACCCTATCATTGTTTCTTCTGTGGTATCCCAGCCCGTTAACTGCACATACACCCAATTCTGCTGATGCACTTTGGGTTGTTAACCAGTTATAGAATATGATCAGCATCTTCAATGCAGCTATAAATCTTATCCTACAAAAGTAATTGTGTCAGCAATTTTATTTTTTCTTGTGCTAAGCTAACAAGACTTTTCCCAAGTATAAAGATACACTTGTCACCCCTTGCCACCTCCAGCATCAAAAGCAATTGGTTTGCCATTTGTCTGAGCATGTCCTCTGCTGCAGCTCTGCTTATCTGTTACAAATACACTGCTGGAGCCACTGCTGCAAAGGGACAGCAAGGGCTTACACATATTTCTGCATGGAACTTTCCATAGAACTCATCATCAATCCTTTTCTGAGCAGGAAACATTAATGTATGCTTTCAGATCATCCTCTCCTTCCTATTGCAGTACCTATTTTGAGGATACCAGATGAGATCTTTACAGGAATTTCAAATAAATGCAATCAATTTTCATTTAAATACATAGATTCTGAAGAAAGTAAACAATTAGCAGGCTATCTGTGAATTACAGCTTTTGTGATGGCCTTAGAGTCCATCATTTATAGGAACTATAGGATCTGTATGGGATAGGATCAGATACACTCATAATCTGAAATAGCTTTTCCGTTCAAAACATGTTTTTATTTTTCCAAAGAAACAATGTCAATTGGTAGCCAAATAGAGGGTGAAAAGAAAAAGGGAAGAAGGAAAAAATGAAGACAAAAAAGGAAAGCTCTTTTGTTTGACAGGGAGACTTGAGAAATAAATTCATAGTAAATTATTTCTAGCAGAAGCAATAAACAACAGCAAATGCCATTCAGCAGCACAGTGCCATCACAGGCTAAGATACCCACTTTGGCTTCCAATGCACACAGCAGGATTCCTGAGCAATGTTTTGTTGCTGTGTCCTGGCAGAGTGTCACCTGGCAGGTGACCTACAAGACCTGATGCCTTCCATGTCAGTCATCACTGAAAGCTGCACTTGCAATAGTTAGCACAGGATCGTGTTCCTGGGACCTCTCGAGCAGAGAATACTGCACAGGAGGGTCATGAGATGCCAAAAATGAGATAACAGAGCCTTCTGTTGCCACAAGACTGTCACATTCACCTAAAAAGGCCAGCAGGGAAGCCATAGTGGCTCTTACAGATGGATTTGGATCAGCTGATGCTGTTTATGCTCTCAGCATCACATCCCTTCTTTCATATACATACAGACACATGCACGAAGATGGTGAACATTCAATATACTTGTTCTTCTAGTTCAGTTTCCTTCCTGGCTTGTTCTACAGCCTGTCTCTAGAAGGTTAAGCTATTTAATTTTAGTTTTTTTCCCAGATTATTAATATTTCTTGTGATACAACTGAACACAGTGGATGAGTCTGTCTGCTATCAACTTTACAAAATGCAGTTATGTAGTTGTACACCAGCTCAGGATCTGCAGCAGATATTCTGTCAGTATATCACTAAAGATGACATTTTATAAATGATCAAACATCTTTTGTACAGTGCTGGTGTGTCTGAGTTAGGAGTAGCCAAGTCAGTGAAACTATGTAAGCACAGCTTGTAGACAGGTATTTCTTGGCATATGCAATTTGCCAGAGAGAAATGTGAATGGCACATTTATATAAATGGAATTAATATTTCAACACCCTGTAAAAGTTTTATGAATCCCTTTATTTCTTTTCTGGCTCGCTTTAATCTCATACCTTAATTCTGCACTAGCACTTTTATTTCCTGCAACTGCAGGGTACAGAACAAAGATGAAGACTTAGATGAAAACACAAAGCAACTCAGCCTGCAAGTGATGGTGAAATCTTTGTATCATAGAAAATACAACCACAGTCTGACATGAAAGTAGTGCTCATGTAGTACACAACATGAACCAAGAAAAGAAAAATCATCCACAAAAGTTTCAATCTTCCCAAAATTCAAGTTCTATTTGTTACACAACTGTTTGGACTGCACTCCTCACTTCAGAGTTTTGGGCATCATTAATAGAAGAAAGCTCTTGAAAACAGGTTAGCTATCTGTTTCAGAATTATATCACCAAGGGCAGTTGATTTTTAAATTTAAGGTTTCAGTTTACATGTTCACTAATATACCTGGAAAAGGTCTCTTGCCCTAATGACTGGGCATCCAGTCCAGGCTGTTGTAGGTCAGTCCACAGTGCTTGTACAGGTGGAGAAACAGCATCTAGAAGAAGCTGAATGGATGTGATAGACCTACATAGAGACCATGAGAATCTTCCTGTGAAACCATGTGAAGCAGTTCTAAGATCCATGTGCAGTGACAAGCCCCCAGAATCCTGGAATTGTGTCTTTGTTCAGTGGGAATATGCGAATCAAAAAGTTTAATCAACTTCTCTTTCATTTAGCTTAAATGAATTTAGGTTGTCTCCCAAATAGTTTGTATGCTTATTCTGTTACAGCCTATTATCTGTGCTTGGAGGAACAGACAAGGACCTAAGCTAAATGGGGAGATGTACCAGTACAGTGGTGTCACATAATGGTGACTTGCACCACATCAAATTTATCAGTAAAATGCTGTTAATCCCCTGAACTTTCCACAACAAAATCTCCCGTTTCCAGCAGCATCTCAAGTCACAAAAATGAACACAAAGTCACCTGAGAAACAAATACTGTACTTGTATTTCTTAATGAGGGGACGTCCATTTTCTGCCATGGAGCAGTATCAGTCCTTTTGCCTTTCATTCACAGTCTGACATGGTCATAGGTCACATATCTGCAGCCCTACAACAAGATTTGTCACCAAAACACCCCAAGCCAGCAGCATCTGCAGGCTGTGCCAAAGCCCAAAACACTACATACCATATCTTCAAAGAACATCATGTGCTAAGAGTGGCAAAGAAAGCTGTCATGTAAAAGCAATTAAATCAGCAGACAGGTTGTCTACACTTTTAAGCTATAAAATCATCAGCCTCAAATACAACCATAGCTGCAAAATCCACAGCACCTCACAACTAGGTAGCTTGCCTTAAACTCAGAAATGAACTGTTTAGGCAAATATAGACCTATAAAGATCCCAATTAGCTTTGTGACCTCCAGCGGGCAGGAGGTTTTGCAGCATCTGACTGCAAATTGCTCTGTGGTGGGCTCAGTCCTGAGGAGGCTTCACCAGCTGAGCAAGATGGGCAGCACATCCCTGGGCAGAAAGGCAAGAACAACTTCCAAAAAAAATAACAACAGCAATGTATTTCATGTTACATTTTAACTCATAAAACTTTTACTGCACGCTTTCCACAGCACTGCCAGCACCAAGTAAAAGCTCTTTGACAAAGTGTGGGTTAAGATGCAGCCACTTACTGTAAGAGCAGCCAAAGACCTCAACTCTCAGTCCTATCCGCCCACCAGCATTCCACTTCAGAGGGATGAAGCGCAAGAATCGAGCTTTCATGGAGTGCAGCAGTTTGTGGTGAACCACACTGTCAGCATTGCTGTTCCCTGTGAAGGCCTGGAAGAACAAAAAGTCTTGGTGAGACATTAAGCAACAGGAGGTGAATGCAGCATTCTAAAAAAGGCTGTGAACTCTCACCTCTCTCCACGATTCTTACTCTCAACAATTGCTTGAAATTATTTAAATTGATTGCCAAGTTTTCTTCCAAGTGCTACATCTCTTATGAAGGGAAACAAAGGAGACAGCAGCACACAGAGCACCTCAGCAGAGTGGGGGATGTATACGCACTTACAAAAACAGGTTATAGACGGGGATGATACTGAAGATGCTGCACAATTTCTCCCAACCCAGGCTATTCCTGTGCACTATAATACTCCATCAACCCCTAAAATAGACAGAGTCCCATCAGCACAGTGAAGGATGTGGCTTGATTTAGCCCTTGGTGCACTCATGGAAGTGCTAAATGATAGACACAAGCCACTGAAGTTCTTCAGAGTCCGGGGAGAAGAACAGGACAGTGTACTTCCAGATACCCAACAGAAAACTCAAGCAAGGAACAGGAAGAGATAAAAGCCTGAGTAAGCACACAGGAGAATCAGCATTTTGACTGTGTTTGCACCCGAGAGAGTTAAAGCATGCAAAGAGTAAAAATAATTTAATTTCTTTCCTTACTTATTTAATTAATTGCCTGCAACACCAAGCCAAAATTAATGGCCCTAGTCAGAATTATAACTTAACAAGAGGAAATTCTCTCATGGATGAAGAATGACTGAGGGATTTCAAAGACAAACCTTCAGACAAACATCAAGGCTTCGTTCCTGCCTGAAGCATTTTCAATTCATCTTTACACCCTTATCTGTAATATTGGCCCAGGAATATCACACACTTCCTGCAATCCTCAGAACATTTGAGTAATTCAGCTAGGATTGAAATTTGAAGCTAAGAGTTTTGTAAAGCATGAAAACCAAAGAGAGAACACACAAAAACATAATCTCACAGGAGAGCCATATTTGTAAAAGAGGTCCTGCATTTTGTAAGCATAAAATTTCATCACAAAAAGTTGTACCAGTTCAAAATGCTTCTGCAGTTCAAAAATTCACTTACACCATTCACTTATACAATGCAATTGTGAGCAAAATTGGAATAAGGCATTAAAGTAGGCCTGCAGTTCATTTTGATGGTTGAAGGATGTGTTAAAGGGGTTCATCTCCACTCCATTTTTTTCCTCAAATAAAAGCATTCCAACTTTTTTCCAGATGTTATTATAGATGCCAGAGAACCTCAAATTCAGTTGTATTCTTGTTTTACTAAACTCAGCATTCAATTGTTTTATTAGGACTATATTAAATAAACAATCTTCTGGAATATTTCTAAGGCACAATCCTTTTAAACCATAGAATGTTCATTTCATTTCACCTTAAAAATGATAAGTGAAATTCTCTTCTATATACAGTAAGCCTTATTTTCCAACCAGTCATGAATGCAAAAGACCACATATATCTGTCTTCCTAAAACATTCTTTGCATTTCATTCCTGTTATTGCTTGCTTCTGAAGATGAACAGCTTTACTGAAATGATCTCTCACAATCCCAGTTACCTCCTTGAAAAACCACCCTTCAAAACATGTGATCATGTGCTGGTTTTGGCTGAAGTGTAGCTAATTTTCTTCGTAGTAATTTGTATGGGGCTCTGTTTTGGATTTGTGCTGGAAACAGCATTGATAACACAGAGATGATTTAGTTATCAGTTTAGCAGTGCTTGCACAGAGTCAAGGACTCTTCTGCACCTCACCCCTCCAGAGAGGAGACTGGAGAGCATGGGAAGTTGGGAGGGGACACAGCCAGGACAGCTGACCCCAGCTGACCACTGGGATATCCCATCCCATATGGAATCATGCTCAGCATGTAGAGCTGGGAGAAGGACAGGGAGATGTCCAGAGTGATGGAATTTTTATTCCCAAGTCATCATTACATGTGACAGAGCCTGGCTGCCCTGGGGATGCTGGAGACCTCCCTACCCAAGGGAAGTGGTGTATGAACTCCTTGTTCTGCTTGCAAAAGTGTGGGTGGCTTTTGCTTTACCCACTAAACTGTCTTCATCTCAACCCATGAGTTTTCTTATGTTTAATCTTCCAATTCTTTCCCCCATCCCACAGATGGAGATTGAGCAGCTCTGTGGGGCTCAGGTAATGGTTGGGGTTAATCCATTACAGATCTCTAAAATTATTTCTATTAGGAGCTTATCAGGCTGAAAAGGGAAAAAAAAATGGTTATCCCAGTTGTCCTCAAAGCTTTGCTTTTCCTACACCTCTAGTTCTGAACTTTTAATGCAGAAGATCTTGTTTTCTACAAGTATTATGCAACAGTTAACTAACCTCTCACAAATTAAGCTATATTATTATTCATTCGAATGGAGATTCTTCTTGTTGTTAACTCCAAGTTAATCAAATACAGCAGATACGTTTTGAGGAGTGGAACAAAAAGTACTTCTATATGTCCTGAGCTTACTCATACTGCTTTCCACATAGCACCCAGTTTCAAATTCCAGCAGAGAGCCTTTCAGAGATCTTTTTCCTTGTATTTTAAGTGAAAAATCTTGTTCTTCTCAGTAATGAAATTGTCAGTAGAGAGTAAGCCTCACAGTCATAGCTGTGGCAGTCCTCATATTTTTAGTAAGACACTTATGGATATATAAGATGCAGAAAGGAGACTGTTGTTTTCTGTTTGTTTGCTCCAAAGGCTCGTGCTCTTGGAGTCCTGTGATTATGTAAATGTCTCACCTTTAATAAGATTAAAAAGAAAGAAGATAAACAACAAAGGGGGAATAGAGAGTTTCCAGTCCTTCCAGTTGTGAAGAAAAGCTTAAAATGCAGTAACTAGAGTGAAAGTAAAGGTGAAAAGCAAGAGACAAAAAAAGTATCCCTTAATACTGTGAAACAAGCTGGGGTGTCCAGCATACTTTAGGGATTGTCTGTGACATCAAGGAGGGTGTGATTTTGCCAGGGAAAAGACTGACAGCTGTACCACACCTGATCTCCCTGCATACCTGCTGGCATCTCTGCTAGGTATCTTCCCTGAACACCTCAAGCAAGAGCCAGAACTATTCACACCCAGCCTCTAGACCAGTCCACTCCAAACCACATGGGCAACTATGTAAAAACATCCTTCCCACACTGAAAGAGTGCCACCAGTAAAAATAAACTATTCAGAAGTCCAGTACTGCCCTTACAGCACTTTTTTTCTTAAGCTCTTCTAATAAGGAGAGAACTAATGACCCTTTTGGGGAAAGGAAATCCACATGCAATGCTGTACCCATTGATCTGTGCCTACAAGATGGTTCTGTGTGCTGTTGGCACATCCCTGCTTGCTGCTACCAGCGGGGCATCACTGTGTGTGTGCCTTCAGAATTGCTTTGATTTTCCCTTCCGACTCCCACTGCTATACAGATCACCTTTAGGGACCACCTGTGGGCAGTAGACCATTGATTGAATAATACCAATTGCCACAGACGGTCACTTGAAAACTTAAGATCCACAGCTGACACAGAAAAAAATCCATCCATTAAAGAAGATGAAAGTAGGATGAAGTACCAGATTTCACAGCCCTGGAGGTTCAGATATTGATTAACAGTAAACCTATCGGTGAGAATGGCAGAAGTCCTCTAGAGAAATGGCCTTTATTACAACTTGTTGTTGATAAGGATTAATTCCCAGGAACAAAATGACAAACAAGTGCAGAAAACAAAGCACTTGCATTTCCCATGCAACACAGTTGCTCTGGGAGGGAGCAAAGCACTTCAATTTTTAACAAGCTCTGTAAACACAAGAGACGGATGATTTACATGGGAAATTGTGCCTCTGGCATTCTATGGGGCTTATAAATCAAAGAGCTCCATTAGTGCCAAATTTTGCCACCAGCTCCTTGAAGGCAAAAGCTTTCCCCAGTGCCAGTGGGCGCAAGGTTAACAGCTGGCCAGGGCTGCCCCTCAGACCAAGCTTGTTTCACTGTGCCTGGCTGCACGGTGCTCTGCTGTGACACAGACCACGGCACCACAGTAATATTTTATGAGGCTTTTTTTATGAGCCAGCAAAGGCAGGTCCCACCGGCATGGAAAGGTGAGGGGAGAGCAGCTGCAGTGGTTTGGAGCAGGGTCCGACCGGCTCAGTGCTGCCTCTTGGGCAGCAGCTGTCAGCATGTGGGGAAGAATGGCAGAGACAAGCACACACAGCGCTCCTCCCAATGCTCAGCTCACCTACTTCATGGATTACAGTGAAATAGGACAAAATGGAGTTCCAGTTTAAATGAAAAAGAAAATTTTGAAAAGAAGCATAAATCTCAAAACCGCTGTTGTTGCCTGGAATTTGCATGGATGAGTCCCTCAGGAAAACACAATGATTCATCTAAATGGGCTATTTTTACAACTCTCCCATTCAGAGGGATCCCAAAAGCTTTCCAAGGGCAGTTCAGGAAAATGTCACACAACTGTGGTGAAATATGACAGTTGTTTGATAACCCTGAAGACACATACTTGGTTCTTTACCTCATGCATTAATTCAGAGCTATGCCAGATCATACCTGTGAGACTTGCTGAGCTTTAGATCACCCTTTGGCCAAACTCCCAGAGTGGTCTCCACCTCCCAACAGACAAGTGGAAATTGGGCCCAAGTGTCTGCCCATGAAAGCCTGGTTAACTCAAAAGATCACATCAGATGAAGGACTTTATCTCAGCTTTCCCCAGCCTGAATTCTCTGCACACCAAATGGCAATTTATTTACAGACTTGCAGAAGGTGGTTCCCATAATGGCTCTGCTGAATACATTCTGCTCTCCCACTTTGTTAGGCAGTAATAGGATGGGTCCAAAATGAGTATGCAAGCAGCAATATCGGCACAATCCTCAGCCCTGCACGGTGAGCAGGCAGACCTGAGGTTAACTACCTTCTAGGGGAGGTATTTTAAGACATATTGAAAACTCTCATTTCTGCCAAAGTAATCTGATGAGTTGAATTGAGAGGAAAGAAATAATCAGATTATAAATGTGCAGAGGGCATACAACGCAG